CGCCGGATCTGAGTGACTGCGTGTGCACGAGTGTGAGGAACAAGGTGCGGGGAGTCTCCCACTAACGTTTGTAGGAGTAGACGCGTGGAGGCGAGGGATTAATTCCCGGTGGCCGAGTGCCAGCCCGAGTTATGCCTCACAGGGAGGACATGGAGGGGGTGGGGTCGCGGACTCGAGGAGCCACAGCGCAAGGAGAGGAGTCGGGGAGCAGCAGCCCTCGCCCGGACAAGGAGATGGGGAGCAGCGACTCTCAAGGGACGGAGGAGTTGGGGGGCAGCAGCTCCCCCGGGATCAACCCTCCATCGGGGGATGAACCGGAGGCCAGCAACCTTCACAAATGCCAGTCACTATTCTTTTACCCCCCCTTTACCTTGTTAATGAGATATTGAAGGCAGAAGTGTGAACATAACACTACAGTGCAACTGATGTTACTGAAGCCCATTGTGCGCCACTCTTTGTATTCGGGCACCAATCCACACGGCCGACAGCTGCGGTTCTGTGTCCGTAGGCTGAGGTCGGAAATCTCTTTGTAACACCCTCCCGATTCTGACTGCAGGGCGCAAACTACCCGGATGAAGTGTGCGAGATCATGAGGGATCTTCACATGAATCCAGGCGGCTGCGAGGACTTCAAGGGGTTCATGGCCACGTTAATGCAAGTCTTCTTGGCCGGCTATGCCCCGTTCCAGGAGCATGTGTTCCTTACCAAGGGGCCTTGTGGCCCGCCCATTTTTGCTGATAAACCGAAATAAATCCTGTGAGAAAAAAATATGAATAAAGTCACTCGCGCACTCTTCCTAATCCTGGTGATGAAGTGGTTGGAACAGGTGAGCAGTGAATACAGATGTGGTTGGTTCCATCCCTGCAATACCGGGTTGGTTATTGGACAATGGTTGTGGCCTTCACTCATTCCCACCCTCGTAGTTTAAAGGAGCTGACGAGAGTGGCACTGATCCCACGGCGTTACCACATCGGGCTCTGCTTTTTAGCACCAGGGCCGTTATGAGCGGCTTCTCGTGATGCCCGATTTAATAGCCCCGAGAACGGATCCAACCCTGGCACTCATCGCTCCTTGTCAACTAGAGTTCATGCAACTGACCTAATTTAGACCCATTTGCTGACTCCATTATTTACAATGTTCATGGAGATCCTTTCAGACATGTGTAGAACATTTAGAGGTCAATGACACGCCTGAGCCTTGTACCATTAAGTAGCTTCCTTTACCGTCGAGAAGTGTTAGGGGCGTCGGCCCCCGGGATCTCTCCTGCCTGCGACCCTGCCCGCGAAGTACCCACGCCCCCGGACTCTCCACTAGTGTGGGAGCTGCCGCCGCTGCACTTCTCACCGGGTGGGGAAGGGTCGCCGCGCTCCGGTTCCCCTCCCTGGGCTGTCCCCCCCCCGAGTCCGGGTTTCCTGCCGGTAAGGCATCACTCTCGACCGCCCTGAGACCCGCTAGCGCTTTGCCGGCACTCGAACGCGACGCTCCCCACCCGCGCAGTCCCACGCACCAATCACACGCGGGTAACAGGGGGTTAGAGGTCGGAGGGTAAGCAACGTCACTCGTACCCACTCCACCGATTGGGGGGGATTGGATTAAATGGATTTAAAGGGCTACGCGATGGGCATGCGTGCGGGATGGGTATCCGCTCGCAACGTGGGAGTCCGCAGCCGAGGGTTTGTAGCGCACACACCCCACGCGGCGCTGCTCCACACACGCGGCGACCACCGCTAACAGCAAGCGCACCCACGCTTCCACTCTCTTCCCACACACCCGCAAAAACCACACCAGTCCGTTATTGGATCGCCGACGATTTATTCCACCGGGTCGGCGAGCCCTTATTTAACCGAGTCAGTTGGGATCAGTGGGGCAGGACCAATATATCTCTCGATAGTCGGCACTATACTCTACCTATCCTTCTCCACTTAACCCTCTCAGGTTTTTTTTTTAGCTTAGACCCCACTCCCTCTTTCTCTCTCACTCTTACTCATGGTTCGTCGCTACTGTCGGCTGGTCCTCGCGGCACGTCGATACGTCCCACGGACGCTCGAGTGGCTGGACTGGGGAGTTGACGGGCCTGGAGTTGACTCGAGCAGCGCCAGCGCTCTTGCCTCGCCCTGACCCGCTTTATTCTTTCTACATCAAAGGGGCTATCTGGTGCCAACTTGCGGGCCAATCAGCTCGCCGGGATCCCTCGCCAATCGGTAGGCCCATCTGTATCCCAGCATCCCCGGGCCGTTGCTTTCAGCGACGTCTGCATCTAAATTTACCTGCTCAGCGGCCACCCAACCAGAGGGCGACTCTGCTTTCCCGCCGCTCGTGGCTCCGCCCTCCCCCCTACCTGCCCTGCTGACCCGTGCGCGTGAGGTGCGTACTAACCGCGGTGGCGGGGCAGCCCCGCCGTTTACATGTCATTTCCACTCAAGTCACGGCGCCACGGTGTGTGTTAGCGTGGGAGGAGACCGTCCAATTCCCTGGCCGCAGGAAACCGTGATGATTATCCCCTTATGAGGGCTTCTGGGTGAAAACCTGTCGGCCAGGGTGTCTCCCCACGCGCTCTAATGGTGGGGGAATGCGTACGTGTGTGTTTCGGTGGGGGGGGGGGTGGTGAGGTGGAAGCAGCGTCGGCCTCGCCGCTCGGGGGCGGCGAGATCGCAGGTGGGCTACCCGCCGATTGGCTCCGTGGCAGCGGCATCACAGAAGTGCCGACTTTGAGACGGTCTGGGAGGCAAACGAATATCAGGTAGCATTTTCCCTAGCCATTGCAGGCGATGGAAAGAGCTTCAACTCTGTGAAACTTGAGTTCTTTCAACCTTAGAAGGCGAGAGGCTACACTGTCGAGAAAATCATCGCAGACATTAAAAGGGAATTGCGTTTTTACAATCTTTGTCCACCGCGACTTTTGTCCAGAAACAAAGCCACAGATACACGTGTAGCACCATAGATGGAACGGTAGCTCGTACCGTCAGGGGAGGGGCTGCAGCGCCAGCCCAAGAGGGGAGGGGCTGCTGGGGGTTCTAGGATCCCCAGACAGCTCAGCCCCTTGGCGCTCCCAAGGGGCTTAGGGGGGGGGGGTGGGAGGGGGCTGCGGGGGTTCCAGGATCCCTCACAGCCCCACCCCTCAATAGGCAAGGGGCATAAAAGGGGACCTGCCCAGCCGATCGGGGACCAGTTGAAGACCGATGTCGAAGACCAGCATCTAGATAGGAGCCTGGACCCCCTTGACCCGCTGTCCTTGTCAGGACCGGGACGCTGTGTGGGCCAGTGGTGGGACTCTGGGCCAGTGGTGGGACTCTGGGCCAGTGGTGGGGCTCTGGGCCAGTGTTGGGGCTCTGGGACTCCCGGCCCCACGCCCTTGTAAAGGCGAGGTCAGAGGAAGCCAGAGTCTAGACCCGCACCTTGGCTGTGTCGGGTCAGGGTAGCCTCCCCTAGGGTAATTATAGCGGAGGACCCGAGAGCGTTGCCAGTGTCACGGCACGCTAGGAGTAGGCTGTGTCCCTAGGCTGAACCAGTGTATAAGGAGGACTGTTGGAGTGCTGTATTGTAATAAAGAAGTTACCTATGCGAAGTGTCTCCGGAACCCACTACACATGGATAAAGGACTAAATCTGATAGGATAATGATCCATTACAACGTGCAATGAAAAGTGGCCATCCGACAATGCGAGATAAAATTTACAGTAAAAGCTCAATTTGGGCTATTAATGCACACGAGCTGAGCAAAGGTCATGCACAAGGTCGCTATAAACCTGGACATCTCTGCTGGAGGAACACTGGTGTGAACTGCAAAATTTGTCGTTTTTAAAGACCGAGCGAGATTACAATGGAGATCAACGTGGAGTGGCTTTTGGAAAACCGAACTTTGTGACATAAAGCATCGCGGCAGTGTAAATGGAAACGCAAAATCGTGCAAGCAGCGTCTAATGCACGTCCTTCTAATCGCGCTGTAATTATGATTATGACGTTGGTGATGACACGATGACGCAGTTGAGCTATGGGTTTTTAAGAGTTATTTAAGCAACATAAATAATTAACAGCAATGAAGCAAAAAAGTGATTGAAGGAAAAACAAATACGTCCCTTGAAAAAAATCGCAAATATTGCACAATCATAATTAATCGTTCATAAATTCCCTGTAGCCTGAGTCGATTCGATTATTTTAGACTGAACGTGGAATAATTATAAGTAACATGAACATTAAACAGATATAAGGTGGCTATTACACTCATCTGTAAACACGCGAGGATGTTCGAGTCAAGAGCAATTGCAGGTGAAGTTATCGTAGAGAATTGACAGCTCGGCATCGAATGACGATACAGACGGGAGGGAAAATCACGGACATTTGTGAAGCGTTCGAATTCCAGGCGTTTGGGGCATTCGCAGATGAGTGGGAACCATGTGTGCCATGTGAAACTGGATGCTGGGAGAGATTCGCGAGACTCGGTGACACTGCTGGATGAGTGGCGCTGTGGTGATTGGAATCGTTAACGCTAGAACTGCGTCTGTGCGCGGCAGTGAGACAGGCGAGCTGCTGGCATATCACGTGGCGAGGTGAGAGTTCAGGCGATTCGACGCTGAATAACAAAACTCGCATTGGATTTGTGATCAAGTTTCCTGGCAACAGAACGGCGAGTGACGCCTTTACGACAATAGTGAACATCACAGAGACAGACAAACTCAGCCACCCTCCTTCTCGTCATCATCAATTATCATCGTCACTGCTGCCATTACCCCGCACGGGCAGGGAATGCGTCTGAATGAGCTGACGCACGGAATTGGTCAGATTCACACGTGGAGACTCGATGGGTCATGTGACATCAATAAAACATGTCGATGTAATGATTGTAAAGAGCACAGGTGCAAACAATTATGCGTGACGTCATCAGCACACGTAAATGCGGTAATTGGTGACGTCACCAACATAGGTGACGATTTAAACCCTGCGGGAGGCGGATTCGGTGGTTGTTGCTCGCCCCCTTTTTTCTCTTCTACATCCCGGTGAGTTCCGTCTCCGCTCGGCGTCTCGAGTGCGGTGGCGACGTCCGTGGCTTCCTCGCTGTGAATCTTCTCTGCGCTGCTTGTTCTCGAGCATTGGGGCGAAATTGAGGCATCTAGTTTAAATTTCCGCTTGGTGTGTCTTCATCTGAACGCAATACCACGTTGTCTTGTTGTTTGACTTGCATCCCACTGGTATTTTTGCACACAGCGTTGGTGTATGGTGCTTTTTCAGGAATATTTTGGTGTTTTTTCCTGGATTTTCTGTTTGTACAGTCGCATAATCACTTTAAAATGTTTTGTTTTCGTTTGTTGCGGTTGCACCCGATTCAAGAGATGAATGGCTGTGCTATACCAAATAAATAAAACTGAAATACTTGTTTGTTTAGGGTCGGTGCCGTTAGGCCGCGTGGATTGAAGGGTATTGTCGCGGTTTGCGTGCTGCGATTTGTGAACCCGGCGACCAGAGTTGACTTCCCGATCGGTCAGCACCTGTTGAGGATAGTCTTAACCAGTCCTGGGCCTTCCCTACATCGGCTTCACAAATGAGGACGTAGTGTAGTAGTATCACTGCTTGTGATGCAAAGGCGTCTGGGCATAGTATGTACTTGCTAACAATGATGTTTTAATTTAACGGCTAGAAAATATTATGGGTGTGGTGGTTCTGCTCTTGTCTGAAAACCCCAATCCGTATTTCACTGGGTGGCTTTAAGTCCTGTCAGTTTTGGTGCAGTCTGGGGTACTTCCAAGGATCGGTGCTTGGTCCCGCTCTGTTTAGCATTTAACATGACACTTTGCAGCACTGATTTCTAGGGCTGCGCTACCATTGCTACACAGATGACGCCCACGTTTGCCTCCAGCTAACACCATATTCTACATCGGAAGTATTTTCTTTCATCTGTAAAATCATGATTTCGATTTAAAGCTTTCGTGACTGCAAGGATTCATCTTCTTTGGTTCTTTCGGTACAGTCACGTAGAATGAGAATAAAATAATAAATTCATAAAATAAAATAACACAATAATATTCTCACGACGTTTCGGTCACAACACAAGCGGCCTGTCTGGTAGGACAGTCTCGTCCCTTCACCTGATGAAGGCCGCTTGTGTTGTGGCCGAAACGTCGTGAGAATATTAGTGTTTTATTTGAAATAATAAATTGATAATTCTCATTCTACGTGACTTTACCGAAAGAACCAAAGAAGATGTAAAATCATGGTTGCAGGAAACATGTTTTCGGAGCTAAATTAAAGTAAGATTTAATTATCTTGGTAGGCTCTCCCCAACACCTAAAACTAGGACTTTCAAGCCTAGTTATTGATGGCCAGAAGGTTTGCCTGAAACATGATATTTGATCTGTCCTTTCCATTCAATGCTCGTGGGAAGATTGTGAAATCCGTTCACCTCCCAACAGTGATCGACTGCACAACAAACTTGTACTTACTAATTGTGAGGCTCTTCCATGCACTTGTTCTCTACCGAATCGGTTATTGCAATGCCTTGCTGGTAGATGTTTCAAAAAGGTTCTTGGTACATTACATTGTTCAGAATATGGCAGTTGGTCTGCTCACCCAAACCCCGCTGTGACCATATTTCTCTGGTTCTCATCATTACACTGGTTTGCTGTCCTGAAGCGGCGTTTTTTTCAAGAGCCGTATACTAGTTTTTAAGGTCTTGCAATCGCTGGTACCACATTCATGATGTTGCTTCAACCCGACACCCCTTACCCCTTACCAAGGTTAATCTGCAATTCCCCACCCATCTGTGAGTACTTCGATCCCAGCTGCCTTCCTGGGGTGAGCGGCCATTTGCTGTGCCACGGCTAGAATGCCCTACCTTTGTAAATTCGTTTATCCTATAATTTGGATACTTTTTTAAGTCTCTTTTAAAATATTATTTCTGAAGTCCGCTTATTCGCTTTAGCTTGGCCTTTATTTCTAAAAAGGCGCCTTGAAACGGGTGTAGGGCGTTTTACAAATATATGTATTACAGGTGACCCCCCCCCCCCACCTTGTACCTACGACCTAATTTGTTCCCGGACCACGTCCAAGTCGAGCTGTTGTAAGTTAAACTCTTAGTTTCCCATTAGCAAAATGTTACATAGCGGTTCCGTTCCTGGAAAACCCATTACATTTTTTAAATACCAAAATTTAGTGAAAATAACCAAAACAAGCATTTATTTTTAACAACCTTTACCAAAATGTAAGAAACCAAACTTCCGTTGGAAATAATTTCATTTTCTGCATGTGCATCACGTTTCCCCCGGACGTAGCAAAAGGTAAATTTACGAAGATGAGCGTTGAGAAAGTTCTGCAGAGTTCTCTGTGCAACTGCACAGTTGGGCTAAATTGTAGATACGTCAGAAGAGCAAAGCGCCGTCATCTGGTGACGTCTGCATAGCATGCACGTGTCGCCTAATGGCGCTGTGTCTGCACGCGACTTGGTAAGACTTGTCGCCTCCGTCGGTAGTTTGGTTGTTATCGAGGGTGTTAATTATTATATTAAGTCTTGTGGGGTGGATGGGGGGGCGGTGGTGTTGCAAGTCGAGCTGTCCTATAAGACTGGGCACCCATACAGGCTAGATGAGCGAGTTTTATCTTGGTATGTACATGTGTTTAGGTGACTGAATCTCGTGATGCCTTCGGCTGCCGTGGAGGATCTGAGCGCTGTCATGGACATCTTCGTGCGCGAGTTCTGTGCCAACTGTGAAGGAGGCGCGGGGAGTGTCTGCATGAGAAAGCACGTGCTGCAGAATCTACTCGTGAAGCACATGCGGCCCTACCTGGCGGTGGGTTTCCCGTGGGCTCTGCGCGGCAGCAGCACCGCAAACATTTCTCGAGCAATGTGGTGCCATGACGTGAATCCTTGTGCACTGGGAGCCGCTGTGGCTCGAGGTAGTGCCATGTGCCGTGGCACTGGGTTTTGCAAGAATGACTGAGCGCGCATCGTCACTGTTAGGTTGATTGAGACTGGGCTCGTAATGGCCACCATAGCATGTTGATTTGTATTCCTGTTGCTGCAACGCTGAGCAGTTGATTGCATTGGCTGTAGCAGAAAGTGTTCTTGTATGACGAATGCAGGGTGCGTGTGACCCGGATGAAGTGCGCAAGATCATGGCGGATCTTCACAAGAACCAAGGCGCCAGCGTGGACTTCCAAGCGTTCATGGTCACGTGGACGAGGATCCTCGTGGCTGGCCATGCCCCGTTCCAGGAGCGCGTGTTCCTCACGAGGGGGCCCTTTGGCCCGCCCATTTCTGCTGATAAGCCAAAATAAATTTCTATAAAATGAGATGACTAATAAAATTGCTTGCAAACTGTCCTGGGCTTGGTGAATCTTGTGTTTTTCTAGTTCAACCGGCAAGCAGTGGTTGATGCTGTTCCCTTCTCGTGATGCAGATTTGGTTTCGTGCAATAGCGGTGGTCTTGATGGAGAAGCCCCTCCTTAGGTTGGCTTTGCCCAAAAGGAGCCACGAGCGCCCCACTGACCTCAGATGTCAGGAGGATCGGGCTTTTGTACTGTTAAAAAACAGGTCTGATGGTGGCACGTGCTACCCAGTTATTAGCCCCCTAAAGAATGGCTATCATCCCTAAATACATTTCTGTAGAAACGGGTGACACGCCCTTCACCCTCGAATGTATCGGCAGATCTTGGAAAGAAAATCACTGTTCCAGCGGCCACCTTCGCATTTGATCAGGGGGATTGAATATATATCAGTGTTGCCGTTGAGACTAGAAATTGAGTTCCTGGAGTGATGCGTAACTACAAACTAACCCTGTCCCAAGTCCTTGCGAACTATGAGAAGGCATTTGACTCTGGAAATTTGAGCTTAAGCGTCTGAGACGATAAGGGACTACACGGAGAATATGCAGAACTCCATTGATATGTGGGGGGGGGGATTGCACTTAAATAAACGTTTCTCAAGGGTCTTCGTGGAAGTGTAAAGATGTGGACAAACTTGGAGCCTTGTCTTTATTACACAGCTAGGCCCGACTTGCTTGACTCTTGAAGCGCCTCTTCCCCCAGAATGTTTTTGCTCTTTGGAGCCCATTCTCACGTCGATCGTCTCAACGGTGCGCAACTTTACCTCAAAGCTCAACCTTTGCTTGTCTTTTCAGTTTGAATCCCTTCAGACCTTGCCTCCTGATCAATCGCCTATGAAGGCCTCTGCACCAATAAGAGACCTTGCAGTACTTCCTGGTTGCGTATTTGACTGCACGTTTGTTTTGGATGTGGTCTAGAATTAAGGTAATTGCAGCAAAGTTGTGGGCAGATGGTGGTGACCATCTAATTTGCTGGTGCCCTAGTCCAACGTCCAATGCGCAGTAATGTGAAAATTCCATTTTTATCAGCATTGAGAAACATGCTCATTCGAGTATTTGGCCGATGTAAATTTCTGCATGCCACTGAGCTAACGTTTGTGGCAAGGTCCCTTAGGAAAAAGATCCGTATCGTTCACCAGGTAAAACCCAGAGCTAAACGATAGTTTAAGCGGTCAGCTCGACGTGGAGTGACTTTTGGAAAACCAAACTTGGTAACAAAGCATTGTGGCAGTGTAAATGAGTCCCGCAGGAAAATTGTGCCAAGTGACTAATGTACACAGGCTGCTTATTGCACTAATGCGGGTGATGAGGCCTAAGATTTGGGTTGGTCGATGCACATCTGGTGTGTGAATTGGCATGGGGTTCCCAGTCTGACCTCGGGAAGGCTTCACAATGTTCCTGAAGGTGGAACATGGAGAGGTGGTGATGTTCCCCACAGCTCTGCCAGCTCCCCTGCTCAAAGTGCAGCTACACAGTGCCAATCTCAGTGTGGTGTCTGAGGGGTGAGTGCATGATCTGTATTCCTATTGCAGGAACATGACGTGATAACTGAAACGGTCTGGCTTTTTTTGTTCCTCATCCCATTCACCACCACTGACTAACCAGTAGTAACGTATGATCAATAAACACTGCACAAAAAATACCCTTTTAAAAATAATGTGTATTTTGTTTAACCAGATGAGATGAAAACTCAAGATGCCAGGATGGTCGAATGTGCAAGTGACTTGCGTCACCAAAATGACCAAGTACAGAAAGAAGCAAATCGCAATCGACCCAAAAGCAAATTACGAAATCCAAAAAAATGCACTCAAATCAATATTTAATGAGTTATGTTGACAAAGTTGAATCGGGTATTATGAATTTAAAGTTCAATAATTTAAAATTAAGTTACATCGATGCAAAAATGAGGTGGCTATTGCTCTATTTGTAAAACAAGTGAGGATATTAGTCAATTACAGGTGAAGTAATTGTAGAGAATGTACAGCGATATCGATGGGAGGGGAATTGTGGATGTTTGTGAAGCGATGGAATGCCAGGCTTTTGAGATATTCATAGATGAGTGGGAACCATGCGAAACGGGCCAAACATCCTGCCGCAGGACCCTCCTGGGAGAATCGTAAAACTGGGTGATTGCAGGATGATTGGCACTGGTAATCGGAGTCGTTAACGTGAGAGCTCCATCTGTGCGTGATAGTGAGAGGCGAGAGTTGATGCAAATTTACGTTGAGTAAAGAAACTGTCATTGGATTTATGATCCAGTTCCCCGGCAAAATAGTGGAGAGTGGCCCCTTAAAGACAATAGTCCACATCAGAGAAAAACAATCTCGGCTACCCTTATCGTCATAGTTGCATGTTTGGATCGGGGTCAATCAGCACTTCTCTCCAAAACCACTCGAAGCAGTGGAGCCCACCCGAACTCTCAGCATGCAGTTACTCGGCATAGTCAGCCAAAAACGAAGAACCACCGACTCTTGCAAGACATTTTCCAAAAATATTGTATTAACAAAACGATTCAGGTACAAGCAGAGATGTGAAAGGAGTTTGGCACCAGCCCAAAAACATTACAGATTACAGTACAATGGAAACCTGTCTAAACTGCACGTTTAATTTTTTTTACATCTGATTGGGAACATGTAGATAACTTGACTGCCTCTTCAGTCGCCTCAATGTCAACTAAATGCAAAGATAACCTGATTGCCAAGTTCAACCTCCTGTCCAAGAAGAATCCAGATCCACACGTGAAAAAGTTAGACGGTGACAAGATTGTTATCAATCAGAAACAGATAAATTTCCGACAGCCTAAAATCGGTTCTAGCTAAAGGGTTGAATTTTGCAGTCACCCCGTTGTGACCCTTGGGCTACACCCATCTCAAACCTTTATAACATCCTGCCTCAGCAGCTCTCTCGCTATATTTTCACCTAATAATAATTGCTTGTGTTGCGATCGAAACGTCGTGATAATTTTTTTCAATCTACGTGCCTTTACTGAAGACCCAAAGAATATGCATTCCTGCAGTCCCGAAAGCTTAAAGTCAAGATTTAACCGCCTCTACGTGGAGGGTTTCCACTAAACTATTAGATCTTTTAACAAACTTCGAGAGAAGAAGGCTCATCTGATCGAGTCTCTCACTTTTCAGTAGAGATGCCACGACACTAAGTCATAACTGGTTGTGATGTTTAGTAGTTATTTTCGACTCTCCGGCATTACATTAACAGGATGAATGTTTTTACATTAACAGGTAAAATATCTCACTAACTTTCAGACATCATTGCTCGTTTTCCTTGATGTGGCGGTGGCTCTCCGATCTTACATTTACATCCACATTTCTTCACTAGCCCTGCCCACTTCACTTGTGACCCTGGGGCAACACCCATTTCAAACCTTTATAACATCCTGACTCAGCAGATTTCTCGTTATTTTTTCACCTGATGACGAATGCTTGTGTTTCGATCTGAACGTCGTGATATTTTTTATTATGTTTTCTATTTACGTGGCTTTACCGAAAGACCCAAAGAATATGAATTCCTGCAGTCACAAAAGCTTTAAGTCAAGATTTAACCACCTCTACGGGGAGGGTTTCCACTCAACTATTAGATCTTTTAACAAACTTTGAGACAAGAAGGCTCATCTGATTGAGTCGCTCACTTTTCTGAAGAGATGCCGCGACATTAAGCGAATACTGATCGCCTTTACACTGACATCTGCTGCTGTCACTTCTCCTAATGCTAAACGGATCTTGTTCAGTGCCGGCCTAACCCTGATTTCAGAGTGAATAAGATTTCTCCGATTTGAATTAGACAATTTAGACAAGACTCTCTTGCAATTACACTTTACATTGACAGAAAAAATGTCTACATCTGATTGGGAACATGTAGTTAACATGACTGCCTCGTCAGCCGCCTCAATGTCAGCTAAATGCAAAGATAATCGCATTGCCAAGTTCAACCTCCTGTCCAAGAATAAGCCAGATCCACACGTTTAAAAGTTAGACGATGACAAGATTGTTATCAATCAGAGTAACAGCCCAATTTCCGACAGCCAAAAATCGGTTCTAGCTAAAGGGTTGAATTTTGCAATCACCCCTAAACACATCCCAGTTGATGATATCATTGCCCAGGTCGACGTAGCTCTAAATGGTTTGGGACACATTCCTGCAGACGTGGCAAGATCGAAAATCGCTGCAATCCTCAAAAATGCTAAGACAACTATTAGCAACATCAGTAAGGATGAGCACTTTGAGCTGTCTCAACTAAAAAAGAGAGATGATAGTCATCCTCTCAGCCAATAAGGGCAATGCTACTGTCATCATGGACAAAACCACATAACAACAAAATTCAGGACCTATTTGATGATGGGAGCTATACCAAAATCATTAGAGATCCCACCAACCGCCTGGTTATGAAAAGCAGCCATTGGGTGCCTTCAACTTGTTCGTAGAATGTTCCATTCCAGGTGAAATAAGTGTTGGTGAGGCAGTGACTAACCAGGGCTGGCACATCAGCATTCAGTCCTTGTTGGATCAAATCTTCAATGATTGCAATGGTGTCAGTAACAGGAACTTTGGTAAACAAATATACTACATTGAAACGCATATTCTATGGTTCTTTCGGTAACGTCACGTAGATAGAAACAATAATAACAATAAAATAATAAAAAATTAAAATAAAGTGAATAAAAATTTTAACAAAAATATCACGACACAGCAATCATTGGAAGGACGTTATTAACCAGGTTAAGTCATAACTGGCTGTGATGTTTAGTAGTTATTTTCGACTCTCTGGTGTTACATTAACAGGTTAAATATCTTTACATTAACAGGTTAAATATCTAACTGACACAGCCACTGTTGCTCATTTACCTTGATGTGGTGGTGGCTCTGCAATCTTACATTGACATGCTATCTCTCACAATGCAATGGCCATATCCGCAGCTTCGTCGTCATGGAGGTAGCTCAGCACTCCGATCTTACATTTACATGCAAATGTCTTCACTAGCCC